CGTTCCGTTTCCTTTTCAATATGGATGTTAAATCGAAGCTCACCAAGAGATGATTAATTTGATATATTACACATGTAAAACTGATAAAAAATAAAAAGAGTTATTAACTTTTAAAATATTATACAATTCAATAGTTATAATTAAAAATGATATTAAAATACAATTAATACATGTAACATGACCATAAATAATCAATATATTTATGGTAATTCGAACCTAATTATTGTTGGAATAACGAAGCATATAATTTTGCCACATAAAATCTCGAAACATGCGAGTCTGCCATTTAAGCTCAGCACGTTCTGAATTAATATATAGGAGGATTGTCATAATTATATTAATTGACGACTTTTGATAATATCATTTTGACGCTTATAACAATTATCCTACTAATAAATATGTTTTTTTTTTTTTGTTTTATAAAATTGATAAATATACTTATGGACAAAATTGTAATTGGATTACAGCATTCCTTTTTTTTTTCTTCAAGTGGTTCACTTGTGCTGCCAGAGCTACAACCTTGTAGTTTAGAGGCCTCAAGCTAGAACACAACAAAAACTTCAGCTAAATGTCACACAAGAAATAGCGAAAATAGCAAGGTTCTAAAAATCGAACCGATCTTCAAATTGGTGAAACTATCAGTTCAATGATACATTAGTCAGACTAGTTGTCTAACAGGTTTAGTTCATATATAATTTTACTTATTTTATATGTATAATATATAATTATATATATCTTTATCATTATTTTTATCGTGTATAATGACATTTTTATAAAAAATGGTCCACAGTCTAACTATTTTAGCTACCATGATATCATAATATTAATAAGTAATATTGTTATCATAAAAAATAATGTGATTAATAATGCCAATAAAGCAAGTTAGTCTTTAAAACTAATTATAGTTTTAAAATTATCTTTAAAAAATTAAAAACTATCAAATCAATTTAGTTTAGTTTAATCCTTTTATTCGCGAGGAACTGGATGAGAAGAAACTCTCACGTCCAGTTCTGTAGTAGAGATGGAATGCCTAAACAATCATTTTCTTTTTTCTCCTAATGATTCTAACCAAAATACGTTTTGGGTGTGCAACAAAAAATTGTATTCTCAAATCATATCAGAGGGGTTTGCTTTTATTGTGGAAATTCCATTTTCTCTACGATTAATATCTTTTCTAGAAGGGAAAAATAAAAAGATAGTCAAATCTCAGAATTTACGATCGGCTTCAAATGAATACAATAATCAAAATTCAAAGCTACTAGTATTTGACCTGTGCATTTGCACAGGTATATAAATGAAGTATTGTGATTTATTCATATGCATATAATGGTTAATGATTTTTGCTAAATTTACAATTAAAGGAGCTAAAATATTTATTTTTTTAAATTGTATTTATAATATTAGATGTAATGTATATTTTGGTATGTATCTTTTTTTGTTATTATTTATTTAGGAATTTCAAATACGTTTTTTTATTTTTCAAAAGAAGTTAATTTAAATATAAACACAAAAATAACATCTAATCACGTTAAATAGTCAACATATTATATGGTCAGCTGTAAGTAAATCAAAAATTTAAAATAATTTTTGTAATTTTGAAGTGATTAGTGTATTGATTATCTAATAATTAAATGAGAGGTTAAATAAATAAAAAGTAACGGTATTGGAGAGAAAAAATTATATTGCCACATAGGTATAATTTAATAGGTTTTATTAAATGCTCACGAGCCAACAATTATAAATATAGATTATTATTATTATTATTATTATTATTATTATTATTAAAAAATAATTGTTTATGAGGTTCTAAAGTTGTTTGACTATGCCATTAAAATAATTTAATAATTGTTTTTTTTTTTAAATTATGAGATACAAAAGAAAAAAATAATATTGATGTTAAAATAAATAATTTTATTTTGTAACTTTAAACAATTGTTTATAATTATGTAATTTATATTTATTGTGAATTATTATTAGTTGGTATTAGCAATAACAATTATATAATATAATAGAAACATAAATGATTACAATCAATAGAGTATAGTAGAAAAATATTAATGATAAATTTTATAATCGAAAATGGAGGAAAAATTTTAGAAGTTTTATTAAATAGGTTTTATTAAATGATACATGACCAGCAATTATATATATATAGATATAGATTACAATACAAATTTGTACGGCCCAGCAATAATTGATTTGTAAGGCCCATATCATAAGTGCTCTTAAGAATTACATATTAATTGACCCAGGTTGAAAATCGTTGTCATTCAAAGCTCTTAAGAATTACAAAATGGGCCTCCAAAGATAAAGTGTGAAGTCAGATTTAGCAGTCTTTAGTCCCATATATGGACAAATGGGCCTCCAAAGTGTATAGCGAATAAGTAATGCCCGTATGGATACAGTGGCCCACTATCGAATAAAATGTGTCCATTTCGAAAACCTTTTTCATAGCCCATGACCAATACTTACTGAGAGTGATATATTTTTATTTTGAGAATTTATTTTTGTTAGAGAAAAAAAATATTAAATAGCAATATAATGACTGCTAGCTATAAATGTATAGATTGATGAATGGAAATTTTACATTAAAATATGTGTAATAATCCCCCATATATTAATTCAAAATGTGTTGTGTCTAAGTGGTATTTCGCATGCTTCGGAATTTTATGTGGCAAAATAACATGTTTCGTTATTAGGGTTGGGTAAATTTTATTTTACTTCCAATATAGAAATAATTAGGTCCGCAATATCTATAAATATGTTGATTATTTATGTTCATGTTATATGTATTAATCGCATTTTAATATCATTTATTATTATAACTATTGGATTGTAAATGTATTTTTGGTGAATAATAAATACAAAACAAAATATAATAAAATATATATGTTGAGCTTCAAACTTTCAGACATAAGTAAAATTGTTAAATATGTAAGTAGTGAAAAGTTGTAAAGTTGATGTGACAATTACTACAAAATGGAGATTTTTCAGTTGGAGATGGTCTAAATCAGCGAGCATTAGTGAAAAATTTGGCCTATAATAAAGTTCATTCAAAATCATAGCAGTTCTTATTCACTTATATATCAATGTCTCATTATCTTCATCATCTTCGACAGTTAGAATAGTCTTTTGTGCCCTCATCTCGGCCTTTTGCTGTCCTTAGCACCATTTGAGCCTCCAGGTTTTCTGGCATCATCCTCGACTGTAGTGCGGCCAATGTATATTTTCCCTTGCATAATGCTTGTTCAACCACCACTGTTGGGCCAGGAAAACGAAATCTCCTTCGCCATCGAGCATGGAATTGGATAAATGAGAGTCATCTTTGATCACCAATCCAAGATGTCGAATTGTTGTGGCAAAACTGATTCACGAAAAATCATAAGTATGAAATTCGTCGTAAGGTAGTGATCAAGTCCACTGTATCTAGTTCCCTTTGCCTTTTGAATCTTAGCATTTTTGTAGGGATTAAAGTCATCCCATCAGTCATCAATGTTTTGGGCTTGTTGCGTCGTTTTTCCTCATCATCCATAAGAAGAAGACCCGAAAGCAGTTGAAGAAAACAACGTTGAATTCTTCCCGAGTCTGATTGCGGTTTTCTTAAACCATTCGTACAATAAAAAGTTTTACTTGATCGATAAGCTGTCGTAGGTTAGGTCTTACATTGATAGCCGGGACATCAGTGGGAAGTGAGAGTTGATACATAATATCATAATATGTCTGAAGTTGATTGATTAACCATTTTTCACGTAATAACGGATATATCAAAGCTGCAACTAAAAATGTACAAAAGAATAATATTTATTTATTTTCTTAACATATCTCTTATAAGTTTGTCATGTAAGTCAGGATCACTAGTAAAAATATATCAAAAACCTCACATTACGGCTACACATTGATTTACAACAAGTTGAGCATTAGGGTAGTAAAAACACAAGAAAATAAGTTAGTAGCATCTTGAATTTTTTCTAAAAATTTCACGAGTGTGTTACAATTTACGCAATCACCGACAGTAACGGTGGCATCACAATCATCCTTACGATGAGAACAACGAAAAAATTTCTCTAATTGATAAAAGAATGCATATGTTTTCAATAACATTTTATGAGTTGAGTTCCAACGAATAGGAACGTCTGGTTTGAATTTTTTAGGTGTAAAACCTAGTTCTCTACAATATTGTCCCCGTTTTTCATTTCTTGCGGACAACGATGTAAATGTAACGCCTTGATTTTCAAAAGTAGATATCTCAATTTTAAAGGCATTAACGGATTAGTAAGAACATTTGAGCCAGACTTCAACATTTTCAACTTCGGTTCAAAACGAGAAGCATTAAGCATTCATACCAAGTTCTTAGGCATTAAGCATTCATACCAAGAAAATGCTCACTGGGGTCATACATGCCATATATAGTTACCTCATAATTGAAACTTAAGCAATGTGAATTCTCATCATCTTCGTATGAGTCCATGACTTTCAATGTGTTTACGTACGTTATACAAATGCACAAAGTACTTAAAAGGGATACTCAACCCATTTATATGAGTCCATGACTTTCAACATGTTTACATACATTATACAAATGCATGGAGTACTTGGCAAGAGTACTCAATCGATTTGGCCGAGGCCTCCAATGTGACATAAGCTCGAAGGCTTCAACTTGAACTGTTGGAGTATACTGTAAAGCAAACTTGTATATGAGATTTTAGAATGTATTTATTCAGTTTCATAGTTGACTGAAATGAATGTTTTCACATTGTTGCACTCTTTATGATTGCTTGTACACTAAATGTCCAATTATCTTATATTGTAAGTAATGTGGTGTGTTAGTAGCCACGCAGAAGATTACACTACAGTTATCTTTATGATTGTTTAATGTCAAATTATCTTATATTCTAGACATTGTTGCACTCTTTATGATTGCTTGTATGTTACTCTTGTGGTGGGTTCTAGTGTAAGCCTGCAGACAACACATAAACATGATAAAATTAAGATTGAGGAGTTCATGAGGAGACCTTTTGACTGTGCACATCCCTTTTCTGAATTAAAAAAGCAGTAATGTGGTGAAGAGGACTGTTCTGCAGGATGAGGAAAAAAGTAAGAGAGTAGGACAACATTCCATTGTTGTCAGTGCTACTTATGCCATTTCTGAAGGGAGGTGCTTGACAAGGATTTCCATGGAAAACAATATACAAGTGGCAAGATGGAGGGTTCCCAGAGTGAAGGAAATATGCTCTGTTGGCAACAAGGAAAGGGCTAGAACAAGCAAAAAACTGCAAGGTTGGAGTTCTTTCACCTACAAACGTGGAGACAAAGCAATTGCACAAGACCTAAATACAAGGGCTTTATTTAGTTTCTTAATGAATGTAGTTGCTTTGGACATTTATTCTTTGATTTGTAAATTTCATTGTATTTGGTTTTCAATGTAGCTGATATTATGGCCTTTTGGCAGTTGAGAGGCGTTAAATGTTCTAGTCTTCCCAGGCAGTCCTTGAAGTTGTGTACGATTTAATGGCTAGTATGTAACCCGTTGGTTATCAGAATTCTATATTTTCGAGTTCTTGATTTCATTCCATTTGACGTTTGAAAAAAAAATCGTAATTGTTCAAAATGTTCACCAACTTCCAACTGCATTAAGCATAAAGTGGCAATTTTGTGATTACTGCCAGGTTCCTTTTATGCTTTCAGAACACAGTTTTTACTTGACGTTTTAACTATTCTATAGTCATGCTTAATAATGTATTACAAAATTCAACAACTAAAGGGTTGTCATTAACTACAAGTTCAGAAAAAAAAAAAAAAAA